GGTCAGGCGTGGTGGCTTATGCCTGTAATCCCAGCTGCTGGGGAGGCCGATGTGGGAGGATCGCCTGAGCCCGTACATTGCAGGCTGCAGTGAGCTACGATTGCACCACTGCACTCCAGCCTGGGTGAGAGTGAGACCCTGTTTCTTTAAAAAAATAAAGTTTTACTACTTATGATGTTAAGCTCTATTACCAAAAGACATTCAAACTTATCTAAAAATGGCATCACCCAAACAAAAAATTGTTTCTTATCAAGCACCTAACTAAAATTCAGTGTCTAACAGAGTAGGCTGTAGATTCTAACTGCCTGGGTTGCATTTTGACCGTACACCTACTAACTTTTAATTAATTTGTCTCTGGCTGGTCCCTCCTCTGTGAAGGGCATGGTATCTGCTGCATGAGGGAATGAGAAAGGCTGAATGTGCTATAAAGTGCTTATTTTTGTGCCTGGCACTGTATGTCAAGTATCTTGCTGAACCAGATATATTCCCTGTCCTCATACAGCTCTAAGAAATTTCTTTGATAAATTCATTTTTTTTTTTTTTGGAGACAAAGTCTCACTGTGTTGCCCGGGCTAGAGTGCCGTGGCGTCAGCCTAGCTCACAGCAACCTCAAACTCCTGGGCTCAAGCGATCCTCCTGCCTCAGCTTCCCGAGTAGCTGGGACTACAGGCATGCGCCACCATGCCCGGCTAGTTTTTTCTATGTATTTTTAGTTGTCCAATTAATTTCTTTCTATTTTTAGTAGAGACGGGGTCTCGCTCTTGCTCAGGCTGGTTTCGAACTCCTGAGCTCAAACAATCCGCCCGCCTCGGCCTCCCAGAGAGCTAGGATTACAGGCGTGAGCCACCGCGCCCGGCCTGATAAATTCATTTTATCATAGATGCAGTTTTTGTAAGGCTTTTCTAAATTCTGAAAACCATAACTGGTTTGCAGATACTAATGTAAATCATGGTAGGAAAGAATACTTGGTTTTGTAAAGTCACATTTTGACAGGCTTGCACTGTCATGTAAGATGAGGATTTAGCCTAAAAGGTTTGCTTCTATTGCTTAGAAATGTGCTGACAATGTTAAGAGTTGAATATTTAAAATTTTTAATATTTTTTATTGGATCCCAAATTTTAACTATATTGAATAACTATTCTTTAGTTCATTAGTAAGTACGAACTATAATATGTTCCAAATTAAGTGAATTTTTGTGGCAAATAAAAGCTTTTCCTAGGATTAAAAAAAATCCCTTTGATACAACTATTTTAAAACATCTCAGTGGCCATTCACTGGATTTGCCTGTTGTCTATTCAGATCCTTTTAATATTTTCTTCCTGTTTTGGTGTTTTGTTTTTTTTTTAAATAAAGTGCAATTTTCATTGCAGGATTAGGATCCACAAAAATGAACAATATTGGACTGTAAATCATCAAATTGGACAATGACTGTAGTCTCAATTTTTTTTAAGGTCCTAGGGTCTCAAGTACAACGTCTTATTTTGGCCGAGATAATGTGAGCTTTTTTTTACTTCATTATAAAAACTAAAACTACTTGATGTTTATAACTAATAATCCCAGTTAAAATAAATTTTGGATTTGGAAAGGGAGTTGGCAAACATTAACACTATTAACATGTTAAAATTAAATATTAACATCCTTTGTAGCTTTGTGTCCACTCCTATAATAAAGTTTACCTCATTTCAGTAGCTCATAAAGGAAAGCACCACTAAGTCAGCCCCCTTCACCCTCTGCGGTTGACTACCTGACAACATGGTTGATTCTGGTAAGTGTAAATGTCACCAGTCACCTAGTACTGGAAGGTCTTGGTGGTAGACATCACTAGTCATCCTAAGTGTGGTCACAGAGTTATCATCAACTGACGTTTAATATTTCAGGAATAAACAGATGGCATTTTTCACTGTATTTGAATATAGGTGATCGAGTGACTAAGGATCCCTCCTCTGATGGCATGGTTCATGGTAAGGTTCAAACAGAGGGACCAAGAAAGGGACAGCCAAGTAAAAGCATGTACGCCTTAAGTGTGCAAGTAATATAAAATTTCTTGATAAACAAGGCACTTAAAACTTTATTTTGGTTTTAGCACTTCAAGAGTTTTAAAAGCCTGTGCATAAAAAAAGCACGTGGAATACTGGCTAACCACACATATCCCAAGGTCTCAGCCCTAGGCCTACTGAGTTAGAATTTGAGTTAATCAGCATTTTTAGTACAAGAAATCCAGCTGATTGTGATACAAGGGATCTTTGGGTAACATTTTAAAAAGCAATGCTAGAAAAAGATGCTCAGCATCACTACTTGTTAGGGAAGTTCAGATCAAAATACTATGCAACACCCATTTTGAGGGCCATTATCAAAAAAACAACATAGGTGTTGGCAAGGATGTGGAGAAATGGGAGCGTGAATGGTGCAGCTGCAGTGGAGACCAGAATTCTGTTGTCTTAAGTTGTTTGTGCTGCTATAACAAAATACCCAAGACTGGGTAATTTAAAAAGAACAAAAATTTCTCAACAGTTCTGGAGTCTGAGGTCCAAGGTCAAGGTGCTGGCAGATTCGGTGTCTACTGAGGGCCCAGTCTCTGCTTCCAGGGCGGCACCTTGTTGCTTTGTCCTCGTACGATGGAAGAGCAAAAAGGAGCTGGCCAGTTCCCTGGGGCACTGAATTAGTTCACGAGGGTGGCGCTCTCAAGGCCTAATCTCACCTCCTGAAGGACCCCACCTCTCAATATCACATTGGTGGTTAAGTTTCAACACGTGAACTTTGGGGGATAGTCAGACCATAGCACGTATGATCTAGCAATTTCACTTCTGGGTATGTACCCAAAAGAAGTGAAAAGATTTGAAGAGCTACTTGAACACCCATCTTCATGGCAATATTATTCATAATGCCCAAGAGGTGGGAACAACCAACAGATGGATGAATGAACAAAATGTGGCATATGTATACAATGCAATATTTTTTGGCCACAGAAAATTCTGACACATGCTACAACATGGATAACCTTGACAACTTGCTACGGCATGGCAGACACAAATGGACAACTATTGTATGATTTCACTTCGATGAAAGCAAATTCATAGAGACAAACTAGAATAGTGGTTACCAGGGTTGGGGCGAGGGTGGAATTGGGGAGTTACTTTCCAATGGGTACAGAGTTTTAGTCTGTGCTGGCGATAAAAAATGGGTGTTCACACTGGCAACACTGAATGTAATTGATGCCTCTGAATTACACACTTAAAAATGGCACATTTTAAGTGTATTTTGCCCCGTAAAAAAAACAAGTGAAAAAGGAAGAGTTTAGATGTCAACCAACTTCTCCCTTCCCTAAAAAAAAAAAGAAACCAAAAAGTGCTTAAGAAAGAAAGGTCATACTGTGAAATGTCACACACAGTGAGGGAAGTAGCCAGGTTTTCTCAGAAGGCTCCTGGAAAAAGCAAAGGCATGCGTAAAGCAGGAGGACGGAAGATGCCCTAATGCTGCTGACAGACAAGCACAAGGCTGCACGTTCAAGACTCTAGAGGAAGAATACAGATAACCACAAGCTTAAGAAATGTTCTTTGTTGCCACTCTGTTTTAGAGTGGAACAGGCAGAGCAATTTGGGTGAGGATTAGCTCCCTCTGGTTGCTGAAAATGACTTAACAGTTATAGTTTAGTTTTTTACTTCCCTATAAGTAAAGATGAGTAGAGATGATAATCGTAGTTGATAAGATATGAAATGTTTTCAAATATCCTGATGTTCTTTCTCTGCGATTGTGCCATAACTAGCCCTAGGTCTGGACTTTTCCTCCCAGAACACACTCAGAGAGATTTTACTAGCAGGTCTGAGGCACAGTATTTTGGGTAACTTGCAGACCTCATTTTCACCGAGGCAATTCCAAAATACCTTTACATATCTGTTCTTACATGGATTTTGTATCATAAGATTCTAAAGTCCCTTGCTGGCTGGAATAATAATTAGAAATTGCTTAATGTTATTTATTATTTTAAATAAATAGTCCTGGTTAGGCCAGGACTGATGATAGGAGAAAAGAAATATTTTAAGTCACATTCTAACTTAATCTTCACACTAACAATGAGTTAGGTACTGTTACTTGCATTTCACAGACGAGGAAAGCTAAGACACGAAAAGCTCACACAGCTGGCAAGCAGAAGAGCCCGCCTTCATAGTTACTCACAGCCTGGACTGAGTCACGGAAGAAAGCAGGCGTGGGGAGTCTACCGGATTTGGGAATTGGCGCAGGCAAACAAGAAACAGGAGTCGGGATTCCAAGCTTAGGTACTGACCCAGGATAGATGGCTGCCTGCCTCTGGGAGCTGGGCTTTTCCGAGCTGCGTGTTGGCACACGCCGCTGCCGGACACAAGTGACCGTGTGCCGAGGGCTACTTCCCTCAGCTAAGAAGGGACCTGCACTGGGATGTGTGGCTCTTATCACAGGGTTCACTTAGCTTGAATACTTGAATTTTCCGCAAGGACAAGTAGTTGGCTACATGTTCATCTTTGCCTAGTTCTAAGTGATTGGTTTCAGGATCCAGTAAAGTCTACGGGTGAATCCCTTAAGGCGTAATGGTCGGTACCGCTGCCAGGACTCCAGGCTGATTCTGCCGGCGCAGCACGCTGTTCTGACCACAAACGCTGCTCCCGCAGGGCCCTAGCGTGTGCCAGGGTCGCTTCCCTCTCTGCTACAGGTTTAAAGCCATGACTTCTGTGCCACTTAAGAAAACATACCCTCAGCTATCTAGGCTCTTGCGGTGGTCCCTTCAAGTTCTTGAACTTGACTGTGCATCAGAATTACCTGGAAGGCTTCCTAAAACACGGAATTCTGCTCCGCTTCCCACCCCTCCAGAGTTTGATTCAGGCGGCCTGCACTTGGGCCTACGAATTTACATTTCTGTAATAACAAGTTCCAGGTAATCCAGATGCTTTTGTCTTAGTGACTACACTGAGAACCACTGCTCTGTGTCTTTCCAGGAATAGTAATGTTCCCGCTAAAACAAGAATCCAATTTTTATCAATTTATTAAATTAATCTTATATTTCTGTCATAAACACTAGCCGCTACTTGAGTGAAGTTCATTACTGTTATGATTATGTTTACAAAATAGGGACATTCTGCATACCCCTATTGCTGTGAATAAAATCAACCTTGTCAGTACCTTCTGGCACTTTTATAACTTAAAATTCTAAAAAGCTGAGATCTGGGCCTACAGTTTGCTATTTAAGAGACCAGGTGTGGTCTTGACGGTAAAGCCACCATCAAAAGCTGCATCAAGAACCTCGTCCAGGCAGCTTGCTGTGACAAAGCTTAAATCCTGTCGTACGTTGCCCGGGATTCCTTCAAGGTCTTTCTCATTTCTCCGGGGAATGATGATTCGCTTCAGTCCTGCTCTGTGTGCCGCGAGCACTTTGTCTTTAATTCCACCCACCTGAAGGAGAGAAGAAAGTCGTTAAGAGTGATGATTACCCGTAAACTGCAAGAAACCCCAACCCACCTTTCACTGAATTTAACCACCACTATTTTAAAACATCCAAACCATTTTCCATTTTGTTGTTACAGTATGAGCTAGGAAAGCCACTAAAAAGGTTACTAAGTGTAACTTAAATGTTTTTGTTTTGATTAGTAGTGTATTAAATCCTTTTAAAGGGAGGGAATTCTACATTTTTCCTAAGCATGAGTACTTCTTCTGCCAGTGATTCCCTTTTTTTTTTGGAGACAGAGTCTCACTCTGTTGTTTGAGCTATAGTGCCGTGGCGTCAGCCTAGCTCACAGCAACCTCAAACTCCTGGGCTCAAGTGATCCTTCTACCTCAGCCTCCCGAGTAGCTGGGACTACAGGCACGCGCCACCATGCCCGGCTAATTTTTTCTATGTATTTTTAGTTGTCCAATTAATTTCTTTCTATTTTTAGTAGACATGGGGTTTCACTCTTGCTCAGGCTGGTCTCGAACTCCTGACCTTGGGCAATCCTCCCGCCTTGGCCTCTCAGAGTACCAGGATTACAGGCGTGAGCCACCGCGCCCGGCCCAGTGATTCCTTTTTTAAAATACTGCCGAGGTTAACATTCATATTCCATTCTGTAATCACAACACTCTTGTGTTTAGGTTGATTCTGACAGAGCAGCACATTATTCTGACCGTAAACACTGCTCCTACAGAGCTTTAGCTGTGTGCCAGGATTATTTCCTTCTCTGCAGGTTTAAAGCCATGACTTCTGTGCCACTTAAGAAAACATATCCTCTACTTTCTAGGCTCTCGTGGTGGTTCTGAAACATGTCCACGATGGTCCCTTGAAAAGGTGAATCTAATTCCCCGCCTCTTGAGTGTGGGCCAGGCTTTGTGACTTGATGAAAAGAAACCGTGGCCGGGTGTGGTGGCGCCTGCCTGTCGTCCCAGCTACTTGGGAGGCTGAGGCAGGAGGATCGCTTGAGCCCAGGAGTAGGAGTTTGAATCGAATCTGTGCAACACAGTGAGACCCCCATCTCTTAGGGAAAAAGAAAAAGAAATAGAATGTGTCGTAGGAGTGATGTTACATGACTTCCAAGGTTAAGCTTCTACCAGGATCTCTCTCGAATCATTTGCCTGGAGGTAGCCAGTCACTATGTTTGAGATCACCCAAGCAGCCTACAGAGAAGCCCAAAAGTGAGGAGCTGGGGCTTCCTGCCACCAACCAGGACCGATTTGCCGTGATGTGAGTGAACCACCTTGGAAGCAGATCTTCCAGCTCCTTCAGATGACTGCAGCCTGGCTTTTATCTGGATCACAAAGATGAGAAGACCCTGGGCCAGAAGAACCCAGCGGAGCCTCTCCTGAATTCCTCATTCACGGAAACTTTGAGAATAAATATTCTCATTTTGGGGTAACGTGTTATGCAGCAATAGATAACAAATACAGCTCTCGAGTCATCCGCCTAGATATGCAATCCTTGGAGACAGCCCCCTTGGAGCGCTCCAACCGTTAGCTCCAGTCCAGACTGGCCGCTCGCTAGGCCTCCTGCACAGCTGCCGCCTACCCCACCGACATCCTCTCACGGTTTTCTTCATGCGCTGAAGCACACCTTCAAAGCACCTTCTTCAGGAAGAATGTAAGATAAACTAATTCCTTGCATGACCAAAACACTTACTTTATTGTCACACTTGACAGACAGCAAGGCTGTGTATACAAGACTAGATTTAGAATCATTTTCCCTCACAGTTTGGAAGGTACCACACATCCAGTGTCACTGATGAGGAAGCTTTGTCTTTGGTGATCCCTTTCAATCTGAAGATACCTTAAATTCTAGGAAATGTTCCATTATTTCTTCGACAATTTGTCTATTCCATTTTCCTGTGTGCTAGAGCTCCTGTGAGATGTTGGATCTCCCAGGTTGTTTTTTCACTATAATTTTTTCTGAATAATTCTTTGATCAGTTTTAAAACCATACTTTTAAACCCAAAAGCCTTGTCTTATCCTCTGTTCTTGAATTGTTTCCTCTAGCCTTAGCAGGTCTTTCTTTCAAATGCTACTGCTTTCCTTCATATCTCCTGTAAGGTTTCTGTTGGGAAGGAAGACCGGCAATTCGGTTTCAGGAGCCGGACACTCCCGTCTCCCCAGAAAATGTCTGAACTGTCAAGCTAATGACACCCCACTCATTTTTTTGGGTGTTAGAATTTATTCCCTTTCATAAGAGTTTATGGTCAATAAAGGGCTGCTTCGTTTCCTTTCGTAGCATAGCTAGTATAAGCCACTACTGGCACTTGAAATGCAAGAGTTCCTGGGAAGGTGCAGAGAAGTGATCAGCCATTCTTTTTAAGTACAGAGCTACAATATATCACCATAAATACAGTTTAGAATATGACCATATGCCCTTCTAACTTAATGGCTGTATTAAATTAAAAAACTGGGGGAAAAGCATGTTTAGTGATTTTAATTAGCAATTCTATGGTTTGCTTTCAGTATTCATAAAATAAGGACTTTTTCGGAATAAAGAACATTCCTTTTTTTTTTTTTTCTCATTTTGCTATCAACATGCCAAAATTTTGTTGTAGACTGGTACTAGTACCTAATAACTTAAAACCTAAATACTCCCTCAAGTTCTGTGCATTTTATCACAGTGTTTTTATAAGCAGTTTAGGATATGGACTGGAACCCCAAGACCCCACATGTATGGAATTTTTTCAAAATTTAGCAATCAGATATGGTTAATCGTTATGAGTTTCCATTCCACAACAGTTGTTTTTCTATAAACCTATCAACTCTGGTAATCTAAGTTTTCTATAGGAGGATAGGAGGTCTCAAAGGAACTTCGAAAGTTAAGAACTGGGCTTAAAGCTTAAAAAGAGCTACTACCCTATTTTACATGTTATAGATTTAACAATTTGTAAGTTATTAATAGAACAAGGCCTCAAATCTTCATGTAAACTGCTATTTCTGATGTACCATATTAGTACTTTTTCCTTTAGCAAGTCTTAGAAGGGAAAACATGGGCAAAATTATCAGTTTTTCTTCTATTTGATCAAATTTTAAAATATGCATTAGTTACAAGTATAAAAATTTAGTATATATTTAAAACCAAGGTTTTCAAATAAAGAAGGCAAAACTTTATTAAATTTAAAAATATTAATTTTTAAAAATTAAAAAACATATAAATCAGTTTTTCATACTTACTGGAAGAACAAGGCCTCTCAGTGTAATTTCTCCAGTCATGGCTACGTCTGAACGTACCAGCCGCCCACTAAAAAGTGAGGCGAGACAGGTTACTATGGTAACTCCAGCAGATGGTCCATCTTTCATGACAGCTCCAGCTGGGAAGTGCAGATGGATGTCTGTGTTGTCAAGAAGATCAAAACTTCCAAAAGCTTTAAAAAGTAAAAAAGGACGTTAATGTAGAAAAATTGAACCTGTTTTCTTTTCCTCCTAAAAAAGAAAATCAGACAAAAATGAATGTTTTGGGTAAATGAATCCTTCAAAATATTAATGGATGGTACAATTAGAGTGAGAGCTGGAAGAAAAGTTTCATTCTATTTGAAGGATTAAAAACAAACCTTGTGAGTTAGTTTCTAGTTCAGGCACTAGCCATATAGTACTAAAACGGGAACTAAAATTTTCACAGGGGTTCAAAAGCAAAGGTTTGTGCTTTACTGCATGGTGTGACTGATAATTTAGAGGTGGTCTTCATCTTTGTCACAGAACTGTGAGATGCCTCCCGATCGGGCACGCACCGTTGGTCAGCTGGTATTTCTTCGCATTGCTGCGCAGCCAGCTGATGGCGAGGTGGGCGGACTCCTTCATGATGTCCCCCAGCTGGCCAGTCAGAGTGAGCTGGCCTTCGCCATCCATCCGACTCGCCTCCACGAACATGATTTCTCCACCTAAGGGAGTCCAAGCCAAACCTATCGCCACTCCTGGCTGACTCAAACGCTGAGATACCTTGAAAGAGAAGAGAAAAATGATCGGAGTTAGGTCAACAGGCGCCGAAGTATTTCCAGGCTGACTGATCATACTACTCTGCAGGAGTCTGCTTTTTCCACAAGAGGACTGAAGCCATTTACCTCAAAGTCATTATTACCTAACATGATTCTGAGTCACGTTTACCACTTATTAGGTGGCTTTCTGCCAGAAGAAATACCTTTATTTTTCTTTAGCATTTATCAGAAGCAATTTTACCTTAAAATATGTGTGAATAACTTTGATTCTTAAGAGCCAAATCTAGTTACACATGCCCTAGTTTTCAAGGAATAAACCCAATAGTTCTATTTAAGCATTTTTATTAGGCTGCATATTATATATACACTCCAGAACCTAACTTCATTTTAAGTAATCATGAATTTGTTTCAGAGAGTAGAAACTCTCTTATTAGTACACATTTAAGAAGGGTGAGCTCCAGAGGCCAAGTGTGAAGAGATTTACCACAAACCCTAGATTTTACTTCTCTGCCACTTACCTTTACTTTCTCTGTTATTGCTGCAGAGATACTATAAAATACCACTGGCCTATCCATGGCCTCACTGCCATTTTAAACTGAACATGCTAATCACCTGAGATTATGAGCCTAGAGGTTAATGCATCCAAGTCATGAAAGCAAATAAAAAGTAACAGTTGAAAAACAATAATATTAACTTCCACTGTACCCTTTGAATTTCCAAATTTCCTACCCCACAGAAGTTATTCATGTCAGAGGAACTGAGCAAAATATGTCAACCAAGCACTAATCCAAATATGAGATTTTTCGACTGAGACGTAACGTTCTTACTGAGGAAGAGCAGAGTCTATAGCTTTAGTTTCTGCTTGTAAGGCTGGGCTGCTAATGCTTATTCCCTTTCCAAGGGGCTTGGACAGTGAAAATCCTGATTTTAAAATTTATTCTAAAATCATGTGTGGCATCCATTGAAGCTATTGGGTGCTTATTTTCAGTAGTAAACATAATAGTCTATTTTAAAAATTTAGAGATTTGGAAGGCCAAACTCAGTTGAGCTGATACAGTATGTATCACAGATCACACTTCCCTCTAGCCTTGGCACCTGCCCTGTTCTATAATGACTTCAGGAGAAAGACACAAAAGATCAACATGCAAAAGGTTAGTATTAATTAACAAAAACACAAACTGTTCATAAAACTGTTTACAAAGTTTGTTTTTTTCTAATATAAAATCAATTCTGTATACCTGGACAACATCTAGTTTGATCTTGTTTGCATGAAAATTTTCCAGGGATTCCTGTTTTGTTTTTTTGTTTGTTTGTTTCTTTTTGAGGTGGGGTCTTGCTATGCTGCCCAAGCCGATCTCAAACTCCTGGGCTCAAGTGATCCTCCTGCCTCAGCCTCCACAATAGTGGAGACTACAGACACACGCCACCACACCTGGCTCTAATTCCAGTTTTTGTTTTTTTTTTTTTAACCACATGATTCCTTTCTAGGGCTGGGTGAACTAATCCTAAAGAATTATCCTCAATATACTGAATCATGTTTAATTTAACGTAAAAAGTCATTTGATATAATTTTGTTAGCTATACCATGAATAATCCCTTTCTTACATTTGAATCCTCAAAACTTGTCAGAATAATGCCAAAAGTATCCCAAAGAAGCAGTAATAAGATTCTTGTTGATTACCATGTTGCTTCAAGAAACCAAGCCAGTTTTCCAACACTCCCCATCTGCTGGAGAGTCTTGATACTTCGGGTAGAAGTAACAGGCAAACTGGTAACTGGAAAGGGTGGCAGTGTGGTAAGTGCATATGGCCAAACCGAAAGCACCCACGCTCACCACCGCCATTCTGACTCGACAGTAAGTGTTCTGATGTGAACTTGCAGTTGGGGCTAATGACAAGCCTGTGTAGCATCAACATACATGGGTGGGAGAACTGAAGTTACTATGAAACCTGGAATTTCTGTGATCAAGGCTAGTAGTGATCTAAGACGTGAAGAACTTGTAATTCTTAGACTTGGAGTCATATTCTTCCAGGGCATGTGCTCTGAAACTTTAACAATCAAAAGCACTCAGTTTCCATGTATTTCTCCTTCAGAAAAGATGGAGTGTAAGTAAATATGAATTTAAAGGATGCGATACATGCTGCTTTCTTGCTTTTGAATGCAGGCAGTTTTTCAGCCATCTTAACCCCTTTACACAGAACAATTTGTGTTTTATAGAAAATAAGTGACTCAACATGATTTCAAAACAATGTTCATCCGCCAGGACTTTCCTATCAGCCTCTGTCCCCATCACTGGTTTGTGGAATCATCAGTTACACCAGCTAAGACAGGCCTAGGCTTGAAGTTTAGAATGTTTTCATGTCAACGTGGCACATGCGTATCTCGAGTTCGTTTTTGTTGTTCAGTTTCCCACCTGTCCTACCGCTGTGCTTTGGTTTCCTTATCTGTTAAATAATCTCGTTCAAAGAAATGGTCAATTTCTTCTGTAATAATTCTATCAATAAGGTCAATATGCGGAAGTATTTCAAATATTTAAGGAAAAAACTAAGAATAACAGAATGTGTCTTTTAATGTATGGGTTGCATTCCTCATACTTCAAGGACATCAGTTTTAATGAGCACTTGAGTATCGAATCATTGCCAGTTTCACACGCTCTTCCTTCTTGGTCAACTAAAAATAGTAATATTTGACTGAAATAGTTAATATGTGCAACTTTTTAGGACCCTTCCAAGCCTAGACCAGCATTAACAGACCCATCAGAGGGACCAAGACTTTACATTCATTCAAAAGTCCTTTACCAGGTATCCTGAGCCAGGTCGTAGGGGCACAAACGTGGACACCCCCTGGAACTGACAGACTCCGTAGGGACATCAGACAAGGAACAGCTGTACTCCAGCGTGGGCAGCTACAACAAGGTGTCCACAAAGTGCTTTCATTACTATCTACAGGGAGCCCTGAAGAGGCAAAGGTCGCTAAGATGTTCGGGTGTCACAGGAGAGGCTGAGTAGAGTCGTAACGAGAAGGGGCAGCAGGTGCCAAGAAATGGAGCCGTGAAGAATTTTGTGGACCCTGTTTCCAGGGACAAGCTTGGTGCAATGCTGAATGCAAAACCTGAGCTGTCGAATTGCTGTGATACGTGTGCAGGTTTGTTCTGTAGTGACGTTTACGCTGTCAGTTGGTTTCTTTTATAGCTCACATAGCACTTTTTATGCTCCTGCCAGGGCTGTCACCGCAGAAGCTATCCATCTGGCAACCTCTTTATAAAGTCTTTGTACTGAGATCCTTGAATTCATGAATATCTGATTTTTCTAGCTGTGGTTTGTTCAGTGGCATTCGGAGCAGGGAAGGGCAGACTCTGCTTCCCTTCGAGAGGGGCTGGCTCCGCTGCTGCCGTTTCTCAGAGCAGCACGCAGTCGCCCGGGCTGGCCTGGTGCTTGCACTGCGGGCAGCCAGCTGCTCTCTGACCCTGTCAGTAGGGCCTTTCCTCGGCACGAGCGATTGCTGACGGGCCCCGGACCAGACGGCGGTGCAGCACCGGTGCCGTCTTCAACAGGTGGCACGCAGCATGAAGACAGGCTGGGGCTCAGCGTGTTTAAGTGGAGTGGGATAGAGACATAATTTACCACCATGATTCTCTGGGCCATTTACTGTTTATACTCCTCACTTCTACCAGCTTGTTTCATTTGCTTGAAAGACAAGCTTGATGATGGAATCTCCTGGAATTCACCTTTGAATGCGTTCTACTCAGGATGCCTTTAAAAATCTGCACGTCTATCCTCTTCTTCCTTTTATTATTTTCTCAGGGCAGTAACCTTTAGATAAAGTCTTTTTATACACCATAGCCAGAAGCCAGTATTGAGGCTTTTATATAAGGTGGGGAATTATGTAGAAACATGAGTGGCGTCAGGAATAGTCCAATGACAGAATCCTCTATCCATCTAGGTATACTGGTCTGGTCCTCTGCTGTTTTGGGGGTGCCTAATGTCCATTCTCCCTGCTAAAAGCAGCCTGACTCCTTTGGTGACCTACTCTTTCCGTGTAGCCTTCAGGAGGCAGAAAACCCAGGATCTTGTCTCCCACTAGAGAGGATAAAAGCACAGCTAGAGAATGAGCTACTAGCTACCACCTACTGTAGAATAAGCCCACTTACTTAGACGGCTCCCCCTAAGAGCTGGAGGAAGTGTTCTAAGCCAAGCCTGCGTCATGGTGGCATAAGCAGCGTAAGCCAAGTCCAGGCTGCCTGGGGACACCTGCACCCTCTCCTCCTCTTCTACACTCTATCTCCAATAGCACAGTAAACCTTTTATTTTGCTTTTAAAAAGTGAGCTTAGCTGATCTTGTTTCTTTAGAAAACTTTACTGTATTCGAGAAGGTGACCTATGATACTGTTTCTAAATTTGAAACCTAGACTAAGTTCCTAGAGCCCATTTTTCAACCTGTTGAGAGAATTTCAAAGGGATAGAACTCATTAGTAAAAGTGTGCCTTCTCAGCTTGCTTTCTTACTGCCAGTCTGCTAGGTCAGTATCACTTTTTGGTACCAATATATTTTTGTAGACTTATATTCAATGAAAGTGAAGAACAATAAAGGGTGGTATAAGGTTAGTAAATATGGACACAAAATTAGGATTTAAAAAAACAAGGGTTTTGTGGTGATTGGGGACAGGTCTGTTTGTTTTTAGGGGAGTATGGTACTTGCAGGAACAAGTATTTGTTCACGTTTTTAGTATGTACTGGGCATTATGTTGAGTGCTTTGTACACATTAAGTCACCCAATTCTCTCGACGCTGTAATGGCACACGTACATAGTCACACCCACGAGACGGAGAAAGACAAGAAACTTGAGGAGCTTGGGCTTATCACTTAGGGATTAGGCCTCCCTGCTGCTTTCAGATCTTATTCCTCCTCCCTTCTGGTAAGCCCTGTTCATGGCAGCTGGCTTCACCATCTCTCTCCTCACTCCCTTCTACATTCAGAGACTCTTCTCCTTCCTTATCCCCCTAACTCCTGCTGTCATCCTGGGTGTCTTCAGCGAGCACATGATGCCCATCCAGAACGTGGCTTCTCAGTCCTTTAAACACCTCCTGGACCCAGTCAGACACACTCTTCCAGGTCCTTATTGTCAACAGAAACCACACTACCTCTAAATCTGAATTTCAAACGCCCCCCTTCTTGACCTCCTCACCCTCTTTTTTTTTTAAGACAGGGTCCGCTCTGTCACCCAGACTAGAGTGCCGTGGCGTCAGCCTAGCTCACTGCAACCTCAAACTCCTGGGCTCAAGTGATCCTCCTGCCTCAGTCTCCCAAAGCACTGGGATCACAGGCATGCGCCACCGCAGCTGGACCCCGACCCTCATTTTCTTATCCTTCCAGCACCCTTGTGTCCATGCCATAAACTCTACCAGTTTCTCATTACATACCAGCTCTGTGCTAGCTTCACTCCTCTCCTTGTTCAGCTAACATACTTTTGCTCCATCATCATAATCTTTTCCTTGTAAATAACTCTATATTCTCGTCCCTTTCTTCATAATACCCTACAAAGGGGTATCCCTTCTCTTATCACGAACCATTTTGGACCCCATGACATCCCACTTTCCTGAAGACTTTGTTTCTATTGTACCACCTCTTCCTCAACAACATCAGTCCTGCTGTCTACTGGATTATTCTTCTCAGCAGCTACTATTTGAATACATTCTCCCTCTGTCGTCCATATTCCCTTCTAGCTGCCTCGTTTCTCTGCAGTCACTCACAGCCGAACTTCTGAATGGTTGCCTACACATGTTCTATTTCCTCGTATCCCATTTTCTCTTCAGCATACTCCAAATCTGCCATCCCCACTCCTTGAGAAATCTCTTTCAAGGTCAACAACCTCTATGCTTTCAAATTCAGTACACATTTTCCTGACCTCATCTTCTATGCTCTCGCCACAAACAGTAAACACATTTTTTTTTTGAGACAGAGTCTCACTCTGTTGCCTGGGCTAGAGTGCCGTGGCGTCAGCCTAGCTCACAGCAACCTCAAACTCCTGGGCTCAAGCCATCCTTCTGCTTCAGCCTCCCGAGTAGCTGGGACTACAGGCATGCGCCACCATGCCCGGCTAATTTTTTTCTATATATATATTTTAATTGTCCAGCTAATATCTTTCTATTTTTAGTAGAGACGGGGTCCCACTCTTGCTCAGGCTAGTCTAGAACTCCTGAGTTCAAACAATCCTCCTGCCTCGGCCTCCCAGAGTGCTAGGATTACAGGCGTGAGCCGCCGCGCCCGGCCTACACATTTTTATGTTCTCTCCTTCTTGAAATATTCTCTTCTCTTGCTTTTATGGCAGCACAACATCTTTGTTTCCTCTCCCCTGACTGCTTGGTTCCTTCTTATTCCCTTTTCTTTTTTCCTGGCTTTTCTCTTTTCTGTTGGCTCCTCGGCCCCTCTATGTGATCGCTAAATAATGGTGTTCAGGGCCTGCTCCTAGCCTACCTGCCCTTTCCTATGTATACTTTTTCTTAGATGATCTCGATATTTCTGGGCTCCAAATATCTTCTATTTTCTGACACGTCTATGATTTCTATCTCCATCTTGGTTCTCCAAATGTCTCCACTCAGATGCCGCCCAGACACTGCAAACCCAACATGTTCGAAAGAGCTCTGTTTTCTTTGCAACATTCCCTCCCCCGCCCTCCCCGGTCTCCTCCATCTGAGTAGAGGGCACTACACACGTACCCTTCCTCAGCTGTCATCCACCAGCATGTTGACCTCTACTTTTGTCCCATCTGCCTCGAAAGTGTATCTCAGATATAGCCAGAGCAGCTACTCCCTCAGTATCACCCTGTTTGTTTTCTTTATAGCATCAACCTCAATTTGTAGTATTTGTTTATTTGTCTATTTTTTCCCCGAAAGTAAGCTCCATGAAGGTAAAGATCACACCTTGCTTATTTACTGTTGTGTTGCCAGAAGCATGTCATATGCTTAATAAATATTTACTAAATGAATGAAACTCTTTCTAGAATAAATGACAGACCTTAGACTTTTACCTTCATGGAAAATACAAGCATTTTAACAAAAAAGGTATCTTACAACATCTTAGGAAGACCTCAACATGTACTCCAATATTCCCGGTGGAATCCCTCTGTTCAGATTCTCTGCCTAGGCCAGCACAAAGCAGGGGACAGATAAGACTGGCCACTGTGAACTCCTTGCAAAGAACAGGGGACCTGCTCAGATGTACCTGCGCTATGTTTCTCTAATGTAATACACAGAGCACAAGCTTTGGAGTCAGTCAGGCCTGGAACCAATCTCGATTCTGGCATAAGTTCTGTATTCTCCCAAGTTATTTAAACATTCTAAGCCTGTTTCCTCATCTGCTATTGGAAAGACACCATGACTGAGGATTAAATGACACATCATTTGTAGAGGGCCTTCCCCAGTGCCTGATAACTGACAGACACAGACGTGGGAGTGGCCTAGAAGTCGAGCCCAATCGCTCCCATTCCAAACCAGAGCACTACTCGGTCAGAATAAGAACGAAACCTGACGTAAAGCAGATGCCTTTTGAAAAAACTGCCATGCATCACTGCCGCACTGTTCAGCAGGAAAAGGCAGGAATTTTCTTGGTCGACAGGGTATTATAGAAGAGTGGAAAGAACACTGCACCTGGGAGTCAGCAGATCTGAGTTAGGACACTGACTCCACTAACTGCACCTTAAGCCAATTTGCACAATTCATGTCATCTCTTTAAGCTTTTTCCCTGTGTTCAAAATGGAAGGCGCCTAGCACAGTGATGGCCCTCATGGACAATAAAGAAATTTTTCATAAATCTTGATTTTATAGATGCAAATGCTGAGGCAGATTGTGGTTAAGTAATTTGGGGCTGACACTCATCAGACCACTATAGTAGAGACAGAAACCTCAGACCACAGGGTGAATTCTCTCTTTCAAGTGTGAAAAAGATGAACAAAATGTTCCAAACTCTAAGAAACCAGGTCTTCTATTCTAAGATGCTATTTATAAAAGGCAAAAAGGCTGCTGGAGTCTTCCTTTCAGACTCATGTTGGTAAAAGTGGTCACACATAATAGCTCAGATGCTACAAGGAAAGTAAGTTAGTTTCTCCAGTGCTAACAAAGAAAGCTGTTAAGCAGTGTCTATAAAATTTCTCTCTTCTATCCTTTTGGCTCTATCGTTGCCAAGGCCCAGGAACGGGAGCAATGCTTCCAAGCCCAACATCAGCAGAAGCAGCTGGGAGAGAAGGGTGTATGCAATAGAAACATGCATCCATCTTTTGTTTTTACTTGTTGTTCTAGTTTAAATCCTCAAGGAACTGCTGGAATACACTTTTTCTGGAAAGCCTAGAGCAAAACACCATCAGCCATGCAGGAGTCAGAACCTGTTTACACCTTCACTCACGAGATTATTGGATTCTCTCAGAACGAGAAAGCAAGTTTTGTTCACTTTCTTAACCAGCAAAGTTTTACTCAAGTTCTTTCAACACTTCAAAATTCAAATCTGTGATATCTTAAGAATTCAAATAACCGAAATCATGTCTCTGATTCTATTGTTCAAGTCCAGATTTACTGAGGAGAGTGAACAAGATGAAAAAAACAACAGGTAGCTTAAAACTTACAAACTGTTTATTTCTGGAATAAGATGAAAGTAGCTGAGAGCTTTGCAGAGAGCTCATTAGCGTTAATGACCAGCTCAGAATTTAAGTAGATAAACACGATGGGTCTGGGGACTATTTTTCCTCCTCTTAGTTGTTAGGAACCTGAGGAAACCGTGTCTACTGGTATGATTTCAAATTTTAGGTTATCATATGTATAATTTACCAGATTTATTTTCTGAAAATATTTTTTCCTTAAACTGACAAGAAGGAGGTGAGGCTAAAGTTAAATTCAGTAGTATAACACAAACTTTTTCTAGTAACTGACCAATAAAAGCTCCTCTTAGCACCTTAGGAAATATTTCATAATGCCCTCAGCAGTTATATTCTAACCCTATTTCCATCAGCCGTCTCAACTCAGTCTGGGGCCCAGGCCCTTCTGCTGTGAGGTATAATTGGGGGAAAAGATGAAAATAGGGCTAGACCTATACATGGATTTAACCCTAAAGAAACTATTAACAACGAAACAAGAGATTCCTAAAAGATGCCACCTCGGTCTGAACTAGCAGCAGTCTGAAGCTAAAGCTATGCTTATGTTTTCTGACATTTATCATGTCGATTCTCTAGCTCCTCCCCCAAGCCCTTGATAGCACAAAAAAATCCTTCATTAAAGCACATATAGGAATATAGAATTTTTCTAAGGAGAAAAGTTGAGAGACACTGGTCTTAAAATGGAACTGGATGATAAAGAATCAAATGAAACTAGGTTTCTAAAAGAGGATATCACCAGGGTCTCTGGCTCCCTGCAACAGTCATATTATCACATTAAGTACTGACATGCAGTATCATACAGAAAACAAGTTTCCAATCCTAAGACAAAATTCAGCCTCTGGAAACACCCAATTCTACTTCTCCCCTGATATATTAAGCAACCAAAAGAGTAAACCGGTGAGTATCAACAAAGAAATGAGAATGATCACCTCCATTTCATACATCGGGGGCCCAAGGATGTCTTTCAGAGCATGGAAATCAATCAAAATTGGCATTTCGGGTGGTAGGGCCAAGTCAGTAGTGTCACTGATAGACTCAGGCTTTGCATCTTCTAAGATGTGTTCTTTGCAACCTAAGAGAGAAAAAATTATTTAGAAGTTGTGATTTGCAGGTTTGAGAATCCATGAGCAGTAAATATCAAACAGAAGCACAGTGGATTTCAATAGTTCAGTCCCTTTTATGCACTGAAAAAATTCGCGTTGTGTATCTGTGGAACACAGGTGGAAGAATCAGTCTTTCAAGAGCCCCTCCAGGGTGGTATTTGCAATTGCCTTGTTCATTTTTTGTTTTGGAGACATGGTCTCACTCTGTTGGCTGCGCTAGAGTGCAGTGGCATTGTCATAGCTCACTGCAACCTCAAACTCAGGGGCTCAAGCAATCCTGCCTCAGCCTCCTGAGTATTAATAGTACCTTGTTCATTTACTTTTACTTGTTTATTATCTGTCTCCCCCCTTAAAGTGTAAGCACCAGGAGGGCAGTAACCTTGCCTGTCCTCTTTTTAACCATTATATTCTTAACTCAAGAACAATGCCTGGCACTACGCAACTTATGACCCCTAGAGGCCAAATACTGAAGGGTCAAATGCAATAGATGACTTTGGACAATTCTCTGTTAGATCAACCTAACTTAGGGCTTGTGACAAACTTTTCAGTTCCCTCTTCAGGGAAGTTTGATCAGGTGTCTCATTTTCTAATGGGCAACATGAACTTGGAAATGATAGAACCCACATAAGCAATACCTCTTTTGTAAGCATATAGCTCAACTCTAAGGTTATCATTTTCCAATATAAATAAATATATTAATAATTCCCAGTGCCAGGGTAAGAGAACACAAAGCCTGGTTTGAAATCCCTATAACAGTGGACTATTTCCTTTACCTGCCTAAAAGCCCTGACTGGCTGATATCTTGTCAAAGTATTGTCTCAGTCTGGTTTGGCCCAGACATACAGGGAGCAGGACCCAGCTGATCTATCAGACCACCTTGTCTATCGGTCTTTGTAAGGCCAGTATGAATGTATACTTAGGAATGGAATTGCTGGATAATATTGTAGTTCTCTTTGAAAAGTTAAACTTTTCAAAGAACTACCAAAACATTTTCCACAGTGGCCGCACTTTTTGACATTCCTATTGGCAATACACAAGGGTTCCAATTTCTCCACATACTTGCCAATGCTTGCTATTTATTTTTTTTTCATTACCGCCATCCTGAGTGTGAAGAAATATCTCATTGTGGTTTTGAGTTACATTTCTCTTATGACTAATGATGCTGAGTATCTTCTCATGTGCTTGCTGGCCATCTGTGTATCTTCCTCCTTGGAGAAATGTCTATTCAAATCCCTTGCCCATTTTTTAACTAGGTTTTTTTTTTGTGATTGAATTGTAGGAGTTCTTTATATATTCTGGATATCAATCCCTTATCAGATATATGTTTTACAAGTATTTTCTCCCATTGTGTAGGGTTTTTTCACTTTCTTAATAGTGTCCTTTGATGCATAAAAGTTTTTAATTTTGATGAAGTCCAATTTATTTATTCTTTTTCTTTTCTTTTTTTTTTTTTTTGCTTTGTAGAGATAAGGTCTCGCTCTGTTGCCCAGGCTGGTCTCAAACTCCTGGCCTCAAGTGATCCTCCAGCCTTGGCCTCCCAGTGTTAGGATTACAGGTGTGAGTGACCACAACTGGCTTATGTTTTCTTTTGCTGCCTGTGTTTTTGGTGTTATATGCATGAAATTATCAAATACGATGTCATGAAGATTTTCCCCAATGGTTTCTTCTAAGAGTTTTATAGTTTTAGCTCTTAAGTTTAGATCTTTGATCTACTTTTAGTGAATTTTTATATACAATGTAAGGAGAGAGTCCAAGTCCAACTTCATTCTTTTGCATGTGGATGTATCTAGTTTTCCTAGCTCCATTTGTTGAAAAGACTGTGTTTTCTCCATTTAATGGTCTTGGCCCCTACTTAAAAATCATTGGCCGTATATATGAGTATTTATTTCTGGGCTCTCTAGTCGATTCTATTGGTCTATATTTCTGTCCTTTGTCAGCACCATACTATTTTAATTACTATAGCTCTGTATAATATCAAGTTTTTTTTTTTTTTTTTGAGACAGTGTCTCGCTCTCTTGCCCGGGCTAGAGTGCCGTGGCGTCAGCCTAGCTCACGGCAACCTCAAACTCCTGGGCTCAAGTGATATTCTGCCTCAGCCTCCTGAGTAGCTGGGACTACAGGCATGCGCCACCACGCCTGGTTTGTTTTTTTTATTTTTAGTTATCTGGCTAATTTATTTCTATTTTTAGTAGAGATGGGGTCTTGCTCTTGCTGTGGCTGGTCTTGAACTCCTGACCTCAAGTGATCCTCCCACCTCGGCCTCCCAGAGTGCTAGGATTACCGGTGCGAGCCACCACGCCCTCGGCCCTCAAGTTTTTTTGTTTTGTTTTTTTTTGAGATAGTCTTGCTCTGTTGCCTGTGGGTAGAGTGCAGTGGTGTCACTGTAGCTCACAGCAACCTCAGACTCCTGGGCTCACCTCTTGCCTCAGCCTCCTGAGTAGCTGGGAATACAGGTGTGTGCCACCACGCCCAGCTAATTTTTCTATTTTCAGTAGAGACGGGGTCTCGCTCTTTCTCAGGCTGGTCTTGAACTCCTGATCTTGAGCAATCCTGCCTCGGCTACCCACAGTGCTCGGATTACAGGCATGAGCCACTGCGCCTGGCATGTAGCAAGTTTTGAAGTCAGAAAGTGTAGAGTACTCGTTTTGTTCTTCTTTTTCAAGATTGTTTTGGCTATTCAGTGCCCCTTACAACTCAGTGAGAATTTGAAAATCAGCTTTTTCATTTCTATGAAAAAGGATGTTAGAATTTTGGAAGGGATTGCATTCAATCTGTAGATCACTTTGAGCAATATTGATATCGTACAATATTAAGTCTTCCTATCCATGAACATGGGATATCTTTATACTTACTTAGGTCTTCTTTAAATTTATTTCTAGCATTGTTTTGTAGTTCTCAGCATACAAGTCTTATACCTCCTTGGTTAGAGCTATTCCTGGAAGTCAATTATTTTAGATGCTATTGTAAATGGAATTGCTTTCTTAATTTCCTTTTTGATTGTTCATGTCCTTAACCTCTTTAAGCTTCCATTTCCTCATCTGAAATGAGGAAAACAGTAACTACATTTCAAATAGTTCTTCTAGGGATAATAGATATAGAATATAGAGATAATGAAAGCATAGAGCAGCTACTGAGTTAGACTTGGAGCCAGTCTCTCTATGTTAGAATCTTGACTCTGACATTTACTAGCTATGAACCTTGGGCAAGTTATTTGATTTTCTGAGCCTCAGTTTTCTCATCTGCAAAATGGACCTAAAAACAATACCTATCTCATACGGTCATCTGAGGATTAAATGAGTAAATATATGTAAAATGCTTAGAATAGAGTCTGGCACATAGTAGTAACTTTGTAAAGGACAATTACTTTTCCTGTTGGAATTGTCACAACAGCCTACTAATTTGGTTTCTCTGCTTACTTTTCCTACCATCCATTTTATTTTACTACTTGTAAATCAATCTTTTTAAATCCCAGTTCTGACTATATCACTTGTAGACTTAAACATCTTTGTAAGTTTTCCTCACAAATTAAGCAAATTTCTAATGCCTAAAAGTTGAATTGAAGATCCACCACAATATAGTGCCAAATTACCTTTCTGTTTAATAATCCTAGCTCCCACTACTCTGGAATGCTTTAGTCTGAAGGAATAACCACCACCTAAACAGTAATTCAACTAACATTTATGGAGCATAACTTTGAGTAAGAAACAGGGCCCCCAAAATAAATAATCTGATTAAAAATGGGCAAAAAACCTGAATAGACATTTCTCAAAAGAAGACATACAAATGGTCAACAGGTATACAAAAAGATCACTAATCATCAGGAAAATGCACACCAAAACCACGAGGCATCACCTCACACCTATTAGAATGGCTATTATCAAAAAGACAAAACAACAAATTCCCGAACGCTTGCACAAGGCCAGGAGGTAGTTCCGGTTCCGGTGTCGCGACTTTTCGTGTTCGGTGTTCAGTTGTTGCGGCTGGTGGCTAGTAACTGAACCAAGATGCTGCGGAATCTGTTGGCTCTCCGTCAGATTGCCCAGAGGACCATAAGCACTGCTTCACGCAGGCATTTTGAAAATAAAGTTCCAGAGAAGCAAAAGCTGTTTCAGGAGGATGATGGAATTCCAGTGCATCTGAAGGGTGGGATAGCTGATGCCCTCCTGTATAGAATCACCGTGATTCTTACAGTTGGTGGAACAGCATATGCCATGTATCAGCTGGCTATGGCTTCATTTCCCAAGAAGCAGGATTGACTTCAGTCATCCCAGCAATCATTTGGTTCAATTTCATTCACCTCTTCATGGACCAGTAATCTGATAAATAACTGAGCTCTTCTTTGGGGATCAATATTTATTGACTTGTACTAACTGCTACCAATAAAGCAGTCTTTACCAAAAAAAAAAAAAAAAGACAAAACAAAACGACAAAAAACAAATGTTTGCATGAATGTGGAAAAAGAGGGATTCTAATATACTGTTTGTTGGTAGGGATGTAAGTTAGTACTGCCATTATGGAAAACAGTATGGAGGTTCCTCAAAAAATTAAAAATAGAACTACCGTATGATACAGCAATTCCACTCCTGGGTATATAATGTATATCCAAAGGAAATGAAATCAGTACATTGAAGAGACATCTGCACTCCCATGTTTACTGTAGCACTATCCACAACAGCCAAGATACGGACTCATCACATCCATCATCAGTGGATGAATGGGTAAAGAAAATGTAGTACATATATACACACAATGGAATACAATTCAGCCATAAAAAAGAATGAAATCCCAGCACTTGTAGCAACATGGCTAAATCTTAAGTACATTATGTTAAGTGAAATAAGCCAGGCACAGGAAGACAACACTGCATGCTCTCACTGACATGTGGCATCTAAAGAAGTTGATCTCATGAGAAAGTAGAATAGTCGTTACCAAAGGCTGGCCAGGGAGGGAGGAAGGGGGGGATAGGCAGAGTTTTGCAAGTGGGTACAAATCTACAGTTAGATAGCAGGAATAATTTCTGGTGTTCTACTGCACAGTAGGATGACTATGGTTAACAATATTGTATTGTATATTTCAAAATAGCTAGAAGAGAGCATTATAAATGTTCTTACCACAAAGAGATGACAAATGTATGAGGTAAAGGATATGCTAAACACCCTGATTTGATTTTTATACAATGTATACATATATTGAAACATCACACCATACCCCATAAATATGTACAATTCTTATGTGTCAGTTTAGGAAAAGGAAGAAATGGGGCCCTGGTTTCCTTATCTGTAAAATGAAAGACTATATGAACTCTGTCCTTTCCATACCATTAACCATGCCTTATACAAAATAGGTAATCAATTATGTTCTCTTGAATTAGACTGAATTTGGGCTAAGTAATTCTTAAATTTTAATAGAATCTGTGAACAAATGAGAAATCACTAAAATACTTACTTCAATTTGTCAAAAAATTACTAAGTTTTTAATGCTGATTTTGTCAAGTAAACATTTTTAATCAGTGAAAATTAATTATGTAACAAAATTATTTCTGAATGATTAAAAGTTTTTCTTGAAGGTTGAATCTCATCACATGGGGTCCCTGAATTGTGTAACAGGAGCAAAATGGAACTTGGAGATTGGTGTGCTTGTGTCAGGGTGTAGGAGGTGTGTTACTGAGTATATAAACAGATAGTTGGCAGAGAGGTCATACGTGAATGAGGGGGAATATTGTTTACATCTCAGCTCTTTAGCATACATGGGTATACATGGATTCAGATCCTATTTAAGCATGGAGAGAAAGATATGTATGGCTGCAATTATACAAATAAGTAAGTTTTTTTTAACCAAGCCTACTTTAAAAAGTGAGATGAGTTGCTGAGATTTTAAATGTCTTTGTTATTTTACCAAATAGTATAAAGTATGTTCCTCAAAGCTAAACTGACATGGATATAATGCATCTGAGAACCTTCTCATGGGAAGGCAGAAAGGGGAAAACAAAGTATCTGTAAAAAAAAAAAAAAAAAAAAATCAGAAAAACCTGAATATTTCCAACTGTATAATTTGTGCTGTCAGTTTCAGGTTAATCTTTTCCAGAAAACTGTCTTCCCAGCCAGAGGAAGTGTGCTAAATGCAACTGAGATTCAAGTTACTGACCAGGGCTGCCAAGGCATTTGGGACTGCATATTTTCAATCTTTTTTTTTTTTTTTTTTTTAAGGAATAAGCTACAATGGAGAAATCTGTGGATCAAATGCCCAGAAAAGCTATTCTAGCAGTAGATTCTTTATTTTCTTTCTGTCAATATTTTCTTCATTATTTTGGGGACAGCAATACAACCCTAACATTACCAAAAACATTTTCTTCCAAGTTTACCTACTAAACATTTCCACGTAATAACCACTGAGACACAGAAGAAAGTTATGACTGAGTCATTTTTTAGTTTTAGTGGCAATTATCTATTCATGAAAATAAAGAACAAAAACAGTATCTACAAAAAATTTTTCCATTCAAATGAATTTAGAGATGTAAGCAAATGACCTTTTTGTCTTAATTTAAAAATACTAAAAGCAATTTTAAAGAGCTATAATATATATTAAATGTAATAAATAAAACAAATTTCTCAATGATCAATTCAGTGTCTCCACAGACTTTAAAAAACAGCATTTATCCAACTTTTAAAATTATCTGTTTATATATCCACCTCCTCCAATAGACTACACATTTATTTTTTTCTTTTTCACCCTTGCTGTCCTGAGGTTAGAAGACTACACATTTATTAAGAGTTCTCTTAAAGCAGCTACCCAGAATCCAATTTAGAACCTGGCATACAGTGAGTACAGTCATGTGCTGCATAACAACGTTTCGGTCAATGACAGACCACATATAGGATGGTGATCCCGTAAGATTATAATGGAGCTGAGAAATTCCCATCTGCTAGCTACATCACAGCCGTTGTGAAGCTGCAGTGCCCAGCATATTCACGTCTGTAGTGATGCTGGTGTCAGCAAACCCACTGCATTGCCAGCCCTATAAAAGTATGGCACAGACAATTACGTTCAGTACATAATACTTGATAATAAGCGACTATGTTACAGTTTATATATTTAGTATGCTATACTTTTTAAAAACATTAAAAACATTTTTTAGAGATGGTATCTCACTGTGTTGTACAGGCTGGCCTCAAACTCCTGGGCTCAAGCAATCCTCCTGCCTTAGCCTCCTCCCAAGTAGTTGGGACTACAGGTGTATGCCACTGCACCCATCTATACCATAATGTTTACCATTATTCCAGAGTGTACTCCTTCTACTCACTTAAAAAAAAAAAGTTAACTGCAAAACAGCCTCAGGAAGGTTTTCGAGGAGGTATTCCAGGAGAAAGCGCTGGTATCATAAAGGATCTAGCTCCATGTGTGTTAGTGCCCCTGCAGACTTCCCAGTGGGACACTGCGTGGAGGTGGAAGACAGTGACACCGAAGGTCCTGACACTGTGCAGGCCTAGGCCAACGTGTGTTTGTGTCTTAGTTTTGTTTTTTTAAAATAACGCTGTAGTGGGGCTTGCTGGCTGAGTTGCTAATGTGTCTTTTTTTAACAAAAAAGTTTAAAAAGTTAAAAAAAATTTTTTTTTAAATAGAAAAATGCTTATACAATAAGGATATAAAGATAGAAAATATTTTTGTACAGCTGAACAATGTGTTAAACTGTTATTACAGAAGAGTCAAAAAGTTAAAAAAAAGTTTATGAAATAAAAAGGTGACAGTAAGCTAAGGTTAGGGTATTACTGAAGAAAAACTAAAAAAAATAAATTTAGTGTAGGCTACGTGTACAGTGTTTTTAAAGTCTGCAGTAGTGTGTACTAATGCCCTAGGCCTTTGCATTCACTCACTACTCCCTAACTTAACCCGGAGTAAGTTCCAGTCCTGCAAGCTTCATTTATGATAAGTGCCCTAGACAGATATACCACTTTTCATCTCTCATACCTTATTTTTACTGTATCTTTTCTATGTTTACATATGTCTAGAGACACAACTATTTACTACTGTGTTACAATTGCCTCCAGTATTCAGTACAGTAACATGCTGTAAGGTTTGTAGTCTAGGAACAATAGGCTATGCCATATAGTCTAGGTGTGTAGTAGGATATACACCATCTAGGTTTGTGTAAGTTCACCCTACGATGTTCACACATCAATGAAATCATCTAAAGACGCATTTCTTAGAATGCATCCTCACCAAGTGACACATGACTGTATTCAGTAAATGCTAGCTGACTGACTGAATGAATTGGTATGTATAAGAGCCCAAAACATAGAATCCTATCTTTAGTACCAGACAAGAGAATTTGCACCAGTTTCTCAACAGGTTTTATGTATTAATAAATCTCATTTCCTATGATGGAGATTCAGAAAATATTCTTGGACAGTTATTTGGATTAGTAGTTAAAATGTGAAGACCATGTGAAATATCTTAGAAAAACCCATTGCTTTAGTACTCTTATAATTTAAAAAGGCTGGTTTTGACAATGTATAACAATGACAACCAAAGGCCACTGTATTTTCCTACATGATTTATTAAATGGAACAATGACTTTATAATTATTTGGCAATATTTTATTTTCCTGTCCCAAAACAGAATTTAAATAACAAATGTTTCGCTCCTATCATACATAATTAGGGTTTTTCCTTCATTGTAGCTTCCTTCTGGTCTGTATAGGCAAACAAATCTCTCTTAAACCTGGACAGTACTGATGAGGGAAGAATCAATCAATCAGTGTAAATGTCAGACTTAGAAAAGAATCTTTAATATTGGCAGTGTACACCAACATGATACTTTTCCCTCAACATTAGAACATCACCTGATTTAAGCTGTTTGGTCACAACACACTGCCTAATATCCTTGCCAAATGCAAAGGATTTAGCATAGAAAGTTTTCATCTCTAGATTCAATTTTTTAAAAAATAATCTTGGTCTGTTTACAAAATCCAATTAGTTCTAGCAGAACCCTGCAAAACCCCAGTGTTTAGTACCAGCAAGTCAGAATACCTTGAGGACTGAAACTCTTGTCTCTGAAATCTGTATTCTCAACAGTAACCTCCATTCCTTTGACAATTATAAATTTTTATTTGTCCTGAGCCACTAATATAATCAAAGGAAAGGTAAGTATGAACAAGATGAAGTAACACTTTAAATATTGAAAGTGCAAAACTAAATTCAAACTTCTAAGCCCTATCTGTGCAATTTGGGTGTTTAATAAAGAAATTAGCTCAAATATGATGGATATTCAACAGCATAAACTTCAATATTGGTTTAGAAAAAGCCCTCTGATAATAAAATATCTTAGATTGTGATGACTGTTGAACTGCTACAGGCTTTTAAATTAGTAAATTCTATAGAAATAAACAGAAAACTTCAAAGCTGTGCTGCCTAAAGATTAGGAAAAT